TGCTATTTCATAACTGTAATTTTGCTATTATTATGATCGTAATGTAAATATCTAATATGCAGTATGTATTTTCATTCACTGGACAAAATTTGGCACAAATACCCGATATGCCCACATTTGAATACTGGTGGGGTTAGGGGGGAACTGATTTTGTCATTTGGAAGTTATAGTTGCTGGGATTTATAGTTCACCTACAATCAATATGCCTAAATGTGAACACTAGTGGAGTTTGGGGAAAATAGATGTTGGCATTTGGGAGTTGTAGTTGCTGGGATTTATAGTTCACCTACAATCAAAGAGCATTCTGAACCTCATCAATGATAGAATTGGGCCACACAGAACCCCCTTGACCAACAGAAAATACTGTGTTAAGGTCTTTGGCAACCCCTCTAACATCCCCTCATGACCCCCCCCCCCCCCCCGGGGAACCTGACCCCCAGGTTGAGAAACGCTGCTCTAAAGCCAAGAAAGTCAAACTCAACCACATTGTCCTGGTTACCTGTTAACAGTTATTTGTTTTTTATCCTTCTTGTCACAACTACTTGTTGGCGTGGGGCATGGGCCCTGGATCTGGCTTCCCCCTAGTGGAAAGGGGGAACGCCTGGTGGTCCCAGGGGTGCCGGGTTTACGTTTGCCCGGTCTTGTGCCGGCAGCACCCTGGCTTTTTATGGTTTTGGACAGCAGTGGGCTGCCCGATCGTGATCCAGGACCCATGCTTAGCTGCCAACCCTTGTTCCCGTTATCAATAAATGAGTTGTGGCCATTGTTCATTCCAACATCATGTGTGAGCGTACTTCTTGGGTTGGCTGGGGGAGGTGTATCGCACTTGCACACGCAACTGGAATGTTAATATTACCAAGTTACTCTTGTAAGTTACATTTAGTTATGTAAGGAATTCCTTTTAAGAAGTTACTTTCCAAGCTCTGCATATGCTCCCACGTTTTCCATCCTTCTCTTATATAATGGATTTTCCCCTTTGCAAGGAATATTTATGCAATAGCTAAATGACAAGGAGCCTGCTCCATGTTTTTGAGGCAAATGTCTTGGTTACTATGTTTAGAATGATACAGCATGGAATTTCTCCTAAACTGCCCACATGGGTGGCTTTCTGGTGGCTCAATGAACGCAAACTTTATTTTGACAACAAAATTATTTAAAATATTGTATCATATAAAATACCTCAAGGCCTTGCATATAAGGTATATATGAAATATAAATGATTTTGTTTGTAGACTTGGGTCTCATCTGTAAGGACTTCATGACATTGAGCTGGAGAAAATGAGGGAAAGTGGGGGAAAGAGTGGAATTTCATGGGGTTTTGTCTGTAAAGAAGACGAAGAATTTATGCACTCTCATTAGACTAAGATCACCTCCTCCAGCTTCTAACTCAACCATCCGCTTAATTCTCATCACATGGGCAGGTGATAACTCCTCACATTTCAAGGATACCAGCAATGCCTTCAAGACCTTTCCACTGAAACAGAAACACCTTCCTTAAGGCGGCACTTTCTCTGGGGTTGTTTGCACTGAGATCTCCTCCCATCATCCCTCCAGGATTTTATTTATCTTTTCTTTAAAAATCACCCCAGATCACAGGTATGTTGTAAACTGCCCCTAATCTCTCGGGGAGAGGGGGCAGGATACAAATAAAGCTTGTTTTAAATTAACCCTCATCTTTCCCTGAGCCTTTGGATTGACAACTGCAAGAAGTGGTTTAAAATTAACTCTGACCTTTCCTGATGCTTCTCTGCATTGGCGATCTGGAGAAACTAGCATTTTGTCTCCTCCCGCACACAGCAGTCATTGTTTTATTTACAAGTGGGAAACAAAAGCAGGCAACGGGGATTAACATCACATGGGGAAATTAGCCATCTTGCTTTTTTCTATGCAGGGAAGTAAAAAAATAAGTCAATTGCCAACCAGTTTAGGAATAATGAGGGGAAAAAAACACCATGATTTGCCCTTTCTTACATGTGTAGAAATGCTGATTTTATAGTGTGTGATGAAATCCTAAGATATTTTATTATGGACACAAATGCAAATAGAGGTATTTCAAAATAAAATTTAAAAATACCAAACACTTCTGGTCCCAAGCATTTTAGATAAGGGAAACTCAACCTGTACTTCATATGCATTGCTGGTTGTAAACAACAGTATACAGTTCAGTTAGCATTGATATCATCAAAAGGGGTCTTTTCTACCATCCTTCAAGCAACTGAAGCATTTCTTGCATAAACCATATAGCCAACATCTTACTGTTCAAAGTCTTCTTTACAAATCCTCATGCCAGTAGTGTTTAAGGTGCCAAAAGGCTTTTCCTTCCCCTGAGTTTCCTTTAGATGAGATCAATTGAGAGCTGACAAGTTTCCATAACACCTGTTTTATTTACAAGTGTAACATGTGTTGACCAACAGCAAACACTACTGAGTCAGTGGAGACCCCAGCACTACATGACATAACCTTCAGCTAATTCACAGTTCTGTCTGTTCATAAATAAAAAAGGAGGAAACATCCAACTGCTGTCATACACAATCTGCCAAAGCTATTGAAATTTTTTTATTATAAATAAACATACTACTACTACTACTACTAATAATAATAATAATAATAATAATAGCTACCCATTCTCTCAGGCTCAGCTCTTCATCTCATTCCTGAAGATTTTGCCATTCAGCACACAATCCACAACAACTGAACAAATAATATTCTATTTTTTATCAATCTCCAGATTCTTACACTGTAAGATAATACTCAGTATAGGGATGCAGAACCTGTGACCCTCCATCTGTCCAACCATCAGAGATTATGGAAGACATAGTCCAGCAGCATCAAGGGGAAGCACAGGTTCCTCAATCCTTATTGTGTTGATTTTGACCTTTCAATCCCTACATGGTTTGGGTCCAGTTCACCTACAGGAGTGCCTTCTTCCATACCATCTGCCCTGAACACTTAGGTCCTCTGGAGGGAGTCTGCACCAGCCTGCAAGAACGCAACTGGCAATCACCACTCAGACGACTTTTCATTGGCCACCCCATAATTGTGGAACGACCTGCTAGGAGAGCTCCGACAGCTAGATCAGTTGTCTCAATCTAAGACACAAGTTAAGACCAATCCCTTCCGGCAAGCCTACCTAGACAGTTTTAATGACGACTTTTAAATTTGAATCTTAATCTCTGTTTTGTGCATTTTAATATGTATTTTGTGGAAATATGTTTTGATATGTGTATTTTAAAGAATGTTTTTAGGATTATTATTATGATTATTATTAACGTAAGAGGAACAGGAACCAGCTGCTTGTGGTGGATCCTTGTTTGATCACATGGTTTGAATTATACTAAGGTTTCAGATCATTGCCTTTCCACTTCCTTCCTCTTAGGCCGCCTTGAGTCACCAGATTAAAATAGGCCAGAACAGGGTGTGTGAGAAAGAGTGCCTTCAAATCGCCCGTCGACTTATGGTGTTTTCTTAGGCAAGGAACACTCAGAGGTGGTTTGCCAGCTCCATCATCTGAAATGTAGCCTGCAGCACCTTACATTCATTAGCAATCTCTCACAAAGTGCTAACCAGAGCTGACCCAACTTAGTTTCCAGGATCAGATGAAATCTGTTGCCTTTCAAGCATTTAGGCTGGGTCCAAAATAAGGGTGGCTTCATATAATTTAGTGAAGAAAGTGATAGCCTTGTATTGGGACTTCTAGGTTCACATCACCACTAAGGCATGAAGATCACTGGGCAACTTTGTTTCCCGTTTCACTTATTCTGCTATACCCCAAACAACTGCTGTTTTCCTGGGAAAACATTTTCAGAAGGAGGTTGCCCTTGCCTTCATATGAGGCTGTGAGAGGTTAACTTTGCCCGAAGTCACCCAGTGATCCCTCTATGCCTCAGTCCAACATTCAAACCACTCTGCCATGCTGGCCTTCAGGCTATGTAACTTAGGGCCCTTCCACATAGCCCTATATCCCAGAATATCAAGGCAAAAAAAATCCCACAATATCTGCCTTGAATTGGGTTATCTGAACCCCACTCAGATAATGTGGGATTTCCTGCCTTGATATTCTGGGATATAAGGCTGTGTGGAAGGACCCTGAGTACACACTGCCATATACTCCAGTTCAATGTGGATTTTATACACCTGTGTGGAAGGGATCCAAGTGCAAGGTAGTTAGCATTCAGAAGACAGGATGTTGCCCTTCCAAGAATAGTCAGGCAAAGGCAAACTTGTATGTTCTTCATTTATAATTGCTGCCATCTTGACCACACTTTGATATTGCTTGTCCTGGTTTTCATTAGTTGGCAAGTATAGGAAATGGGATTTGGATGATGAAAAAGATTGGGATGGGCAAATTGCTGAGTGACAGGATAAGAGCGCCTTTTCTCTCAGGTAAGTGATACAAAAGAATCCATAGTTTCTCAACATCACAATTCATTAAATCCATTGATCCCATCAAGTACGGTGTAAGCCTCTTCTTAAAGTACTGACCAAGCACTTTCCAGAGGAGCCATACATCCCCCATCTCCAGTCTTTATTTCTAACCCAACTAGAGTCAGGTGAGGAATGAGAAAACAAGGAGGCTTCAAAATAAGTTCTGAAGTGTAAGCTCCGTCACTTCAAAATGGAAGCTCTACTACTCATAATGCTGTCTTGGGGCGCTTCCACACAACCAATTAACCCAAAATATCAAGGCAGATAATCCACAATATCTGCATTGAACTGGGTTATCAGAGTCCACACTGCCATATAATCCAGTTCTATGTGGATTTTATACAGCTGTGTGGAAGAGGCCTCAGAAAACAACTCAATTCCAATCACTAGCTACTCTAGGCTAGAACAACCTTCTTTCTCTTTTCTCAATCCAGAACTACGTAGAACAGGATAGGAAAGGTCAGCTCCCCAATTTTCTTCCTCATCAGACTTCATAACAAACGTAAGAACTCTACTAAACATGGTTCCATTCTCTGAAGTACCTTAAGACCCGAAGAAGACCCATCAATGCCTACCTTCTTGATATTGTACATGCGAATGAGAACCCCTTTGCCTCGCTCATTAAGGATCGTCAGCTTCTCCGCAAACTTGTGCTGGTACACGGAGGGCAGAGACATCTCGCTACAATCTTGGTGACAAGCCTCACGTTGTTGATCTCAAGATCCCTGTTGGTTAGAATATGAGACATGCAAGGGGAGACTTTCTTCAAAAAGCAAGATGGTCCAAGCACCACACAGGAACCACACCCAGCAGTTCTGAGTCGCTGCACCACTTCTGTGTTGCTCCTTTCGCATTGGGCCTCAGCTGCATATGAGACTCGCTCCAACACTTCCCCCTTCAATGCAGCTTCCCTTTTGGGGCTGGGACTTCCTGTGGTTGGGTGCTTCATTAGTACACCAACAAAGCGAAGAGTCAACACATCAGGCTAAGTTAGGCCTTTTGCAGCAAAGTTTTTCCTTTCAATTTCTCTGTTACCCACATTCCCCAACTTGAAGGATCAGTTCTTTGGTGCCTCTATACAACTGTTTCTCAAACTTTGCTTCTCTAGGTGTTTTGGACTTCAGCTCCCAGAAATCCCAGCCAGCTTACCAGCTGTTAGGAATTATGGAAGCTAACATCCAAAACATCTGGGGGGAGGAGCACAGTTTGAGAAACTCTGCTCTACAGTGTAGAATTCATGTGGTGTGACACCACTTGTACTCTCATGGCTCAGTGCTGTGGAATCCTGGACTCTGGTGGGTTTTGAGGGGAATTGGCCTGGATATTTTTGAGTTGTAGGGACTGGGATTTATAGTTCACCTGCAATCAGTGGGCACTCTGAACTCCACCAAAGATGAAATTGGACCAAACTTAGCACACAGAGCCATCATGACCAGCAAAAAATACTGGAGATTGATTTGGGAGAGTTGTAGTTCACCTACATCTAGACAGCACTGTGAACCTAAACACCGATGGACTGGACCAAACTTGGCATACATACCTGATAAGCCAAAATTTGATTACTGGAGAGATTTGAGGGGAACTGACCTTCCTTTCTGGGAGTTGTAGTTTACCCACAACCAGATGGACCAAACTTGGCATACAGAACCCCCATGACTAACTCTACCTACTGGAGGGATTTGAGGGAACTGAGTAACCATAGTGAGAGTTGTCGTTTACCCTACAGCCACACTGAACCCTACTGATGATGCATCTAGAGCAAACTTGCCCAACATAACAAATGTTAAGTACTGAAGAAGTTTTTCGTGGTTAACCTGGCATGATCTGAGTTGTAGTTCACCCACAATCTTATGCACTTTTTAAAATTAAAAAAAAATTCAAATAACTCGGGCAACAAGTATCCAAGCTGGGATTTATTTGTGTGTGATATATACATGTGTGTGCGTTCACGTGCACTTTGGATAGAACAGGGAAGAGTTAACACCCCTGTGGTGTTTGTTTTGCTGTCTGATTTCACCTCACTTTCTGTCCCTGTGATAATTGCATTTTGAAAAATTTGGCTTGTTATGGAAACAAGGATTGCTGATAAAGCTTCAGTTTTATCCAGGAGTGAATTTCCCTTCCAAGGGTAAATTCTTCTCCCTTCCTGTTGTCTCACCCCCATTCTTAACTATGAGTCATACGTAAGTCGGGTGTTTGCAACTCAGGGACTGCCTGTATTGCCCTTTCCTTTCCAGTGAGCTCCAGCAACAGCAAACTGCTAGAGTCTCTCCTAAATTGTGTGTACTTCTTTATTAACCACTTTTTATTTACTGCCTTGCTAAAGAGTTTTTGACATCACTGTAACAAAGACATCTGAAGAGGCGAGGAGAATCAGATACTATCAAATGTAGCCCGAGATTCGTAGTTTGAATGAGGCACCCACACTCTTTGGCTGCCCTTGAAAACGGCCTGGAAATTTCAATTGGTCCAACTGGTGGCGGCCAGGTTATTAACTGGGGCCCCTTACAGGGAGTGGTCAACCCTCCTGTTTAAGGAGCTCCATTGGCTGCCATTCATTTTCCGGTCCCAATTCATGGTACAGATTTTTACCTACAAAGCCCTGAACGGTTTGGGACCTGCCTACCTGCGTGACCACATTTCTGTGTACGAACCCACACGATCTCTTCGATCATCTGGAGAGGCCCTACTCGCACTCCCACCTCCATCGCAGGCGTTATTGGTGGGGATGAGGGAAAGGGCCTTCTCGGTGGTGGCCCCCCGACTCTGGAACTCACTCCCCAAGCATATCAGGCATGCCCCAACTTTGGCAATTTTTAGGAGGAGCTTGAAAACGTGGTTGTTCCAGTGTGCCTTCCCAGAATAAGGAAACTCCCAGCAGTATGTCCCTAATTGCACCTTATTAGTGATCTAGAATTGTCTGTACGTCCCATTCTTTTCCTAGTTATTCTGTCCTAGTTATATTTCACCTGGTCTTGTCCAGCATTATTTTTAAATTTTTAACTATTACATTTGGCTCAGCTATTGGTCTTTAAATGTTATTGTGTTATTGTTGATGTTTACTGCCTATTTCTGTTTATGAGCTTTATTTTATTGTTTTGTATTACTGCTACTGTTGTTTTTGCTGATGTATTGTGGGCTCGGCCTCATGTAAGCCACACCGAGATTATTATTATTATTATTATTATTATTATTATTATTATTATTATTATTGGTTAAAGTCCTTGTAAAACTACAACTCCCAGGATTCCATAGCACTGAGCCATAGCAGTTAAAGTAGTGTCAACTTGCATTAATTCTACAATGGGGCTTGAGCACCCACAGATTCTGGCATCTATAGGGGTTTCCTGGGATTAAACCCCAGTGGGCACCAAGTATATTGCCTTAATACAGATCTTGGAGGGAGAAAATTATGGTGGTCTCTACCTCTGTTGCAGTGATGTCACAAAGGTACCTACCCAGGCATCACCCCATTGGCTGAGCTTACAGTTAACTGGCCAGGAGAGCTGGATCTTGGTCCCCGTTTGAATTCAGTTGGTGTTTGGCTGCTGCCTGGATTTATTGTGCTGGAGTAATTCCCCAACAATTCATCGGCTATCAGTGGAAATTCAGGGAGCCTTTTTGCATATTACCAGGTAACTGGGTGGGGAGGACAAGGTGTAAGTCATCAAGGCTTGCGTTATAAATCAAAGGACTGTAATTTTGTTTTTAAAAGTAACCTTCTGTCTAGTCAGGAGTGGGAAGTTAAACAAATGTACATGGCAATGCTTCGTTGCTTTGTATTTAGTTTGTAATAGTATATACAAGATGAGCCAAGAAGGTGTATTGGGTTCAGTGTTAGGACTCTGAGAAACTAGGGTTAAAATCTACATGGAAAGCCACCTCTAGGTAAGAAGCCTCTAGAATAGGTGTGCCTTAACTATGTTGTGCTCTGTCTCAAGCCATGATGAGAGATGGATAGGAAATAATAATAATAATAATTATTATTATTATTATTAATAATAATAATAATAATAATAATAATAATAAGGGGTGTACAAACCTTCATTTTTAAATCATTAGTCCTTTGTAATTTGTAATTTTTATGTATATGAACCGCTGGTAAGAAACATTTGGGGGGGGGGGGGCACACAAAAACTTAAGAATCAAAACCCACCCAATATTTTTTCATTTGAATTTTGTAATGCTCGAAAGTCCGTTCATTTTCAGAAGAGATAGGTTCTCTCTCACCACGAGGAGACGAAAGCAACAGAGCGGGATGAGCTGAGTGAGCTGGAAAAGAGACTTGAGAGAGCACAAAATTCTGGGAAATGTAGTTTGGAAAGGCAAAGAGCCCTCTGACAGAGAATTTTAAAGGCTCTGCCCTAAACTACATTTCCCAGGAGTCAGCTCAACATCTACAGACAACACCGGTTCTTTGGCTTAGATATGGAGATGAGCACCACCATCCTAGATCTTACTTCTCGGCGAGTTTGACCCACATATGATAGATGACATGCACAGGAGATCTAGGATCATTGAACGTAACAGTAAAATCAGGAATCACTCCAGAGAGTCAATACTTTACAAACATTTTGATGATCTGCAACACGGCTCGGATTCATTTAAATACCATATACTGGAAGTGGTCACGCATTCCAAACACATTGACTTCAATAACAAACTCTTACAAAGAGAGACATATTGGATTTTCAGACTACGCACGGAATAACATGGTTTAAATGAACCAAATCTGTACAGTTGTTATATATAATTCTGAAGTTTTATCTAAATTGGAGGAGAGGCGGGGAAAGGCGGATGAGCTCCCTCTATCAGCTCCAGCTCTTCATGCAGGGACATGAGAGAAGCCTCCCACAAGGATGATAAAAGCATCAAATCATCCAGGCATCCCCTGGGCAACGTTCTTGCAGACGGCCAATTCTCTCACACCAGAAGCAACTTGCTCCTGACAAGACAAAAAAAAATCGAAATTGGTAGTGTTACAGTATGTATCTTTGTTTGAGCATATTGAGAGCATTCACAGCGCCATCTGGTGTCTACATTTACATTTTTTATTCCAACAGTCCCTATGAGCTTCTCTATCTCTTTAACATCGCATGTGGTTTTTTCCTCCCTTTAAATTGAGGGAACTCCCAGAAGTTTCCCATACTCGCAATGCAATACGAATCAAACACAGAGCAGAGTATCTTGTGAGTACACCTATTTTGTGATCTATGTTTATAATTAGATGAAATATTTATTTTCTGTATATGCAACTTTTAAATGTTTACAGCTACACTTTGTTCCTTTGATTTAGATCCCACTAAACAGAAAAACCTGTATTCCTAAGGGGAACAAGTACAAAGTTTATAATCTTGTGAGTATCTTTAAACATGTTGAAATATATGATGCTGAATAGATGTATTTACAACAAACATTGATGTATATGATATCAAGTTCATAACTCTGTTAGTATTCTTATATGTATCTTTATATGTGTTTATGATTGTCTATGAATTTATTTGTAGTGAATATTGATATATATATAATTTTAGTCCACCAGAGGAAGACCTGGAGTGAGGCCGAAACCGGTCGTGGACTACGGATTTAAGTTCAACTTGACGCAAGAACATACAGCGTTGATACTTTTTTTAATGACTGTACCAAACGCATATAATATTGTTTTGTGAATGCTATGATTTGGAACTGTATAATAAGTTTCACCACTCACATTATTGGCTGAATTGATTTATTTTTCTTTCTGTATACAAGTGGGCTATTGTGTTGTTTTTTGTGTGTGTGTCAGGAGCAACTTGAGAAACTGAAAGTCACTTGTGGTGTGAGAAAATTGGCCATCTGCAAGGACATTGACCAGGGGGATGTCCAAATGTTTTACCATTCTGTGGCAGGCTTCTCTCATGTCCACAAATAAGAAGCTGGAGCTAACAGACAGAAGCTCACCCCGCTCCTAGGATTTGTACTACCGACCTTTCAGTCAGCAGTCCTGCTGACACAAGGGTTTAATCCATTGTGCCACCAGGGGCTCCTAATTGCAGGCTGATAGGGATTAACATAGATTGAAAAATATATGAGAAATTAACCCATCTTTGTTAAAAAAAATCTCAGAAACTACACCATCTGAAATTTGGTGAGCCACAGCCTCTTAAATAAAATGACTTTAGGTGGGAATGATGGTTTGGCCTCTTGTCCCATTTAAAGCAAACTAGGACTTCTTCTCTAAGGGAGGCATCCTTTATCACACGAGTTCTCTTCCCTGGAATCGGTGCAAATTCACCAGGGACACAAACATCTCACTATTGTCTCAAAGAAGGAAGATGCCATACAATGAGCATCTGAGCTTCCATATTCTGGTATATGCTTAATAACTTTTTGTTCTTATGTTTAGGATTGTTGTATCCTACAAGCATTGCCACTCAAGATTGTCCCATGGATCCAGAAACACTCTTGCAGTGCCCCTATGACAAGAACCACCAGATCAGAGCCTGCAGATTCCCATACCATTTGGTGAAATGCAAGAAGGTAAGAGGAAAAATGAAATTGGAGAGGAACCCATGTGTAACACATTCTGCCAATGTGTAAACCCAGATTCAATTGCATAATTGTGCCACTGTAGCTAGTTGTCTGAATTTACTAGTAGTTCTCCGCATTGGTACATACATATGATGCCCAAGGCATCACTATGACAGATGCTACAAGTCCTGTCACCTTGCAGTGCAATGCCTGGTTGCATGTTCTGCTTGAATAGTATGCTCACAAGCCTCTCTCTTGGAAATAGCAACCTTCTTCAAGTCTCCACTAGTAATTTATTTGTATATAATTCAGACTGCTTACTATATTGTATATGTGTGTATTGGTATGCAGTTTTCTTTAACGTTATGTTGTGGGAAGGACTACAGACTATGTGACCAGATCTGGGAATATTCACATCTCAGACTCCATTTGTAGAAACAGAAGGCTTTAGAGATGTTATTAGACTTTCAAACAGTTGGTTTTTTTGTCGTGTCATGAGCGACTTGAGAAACTGCAAGTCGCTTCTGATGTGAGAGAATTGGCCGTCTGCAAGGACGTTGCCCAGGGGACGCCCGGATGATTTGATGTTTTATCATTCTTGTGGGAGGCTTCTCTCATGTCCCCGAATGAGGAGCTGGAGCTGACAGAGGGAGCTCATCCGCCTCTCCCCGGATTCGAACCTGTGACCTGTCAGTCTTCAGTCCTGCTGGCACAGGGGTTTAACCCACTGCGCCACCGGGAGCTCCACTTTCAAACAGTGACTCTATTAAACTCTCAAACCAGAGAGATGCTTTAGACTTTGGACTGTTGATTACAAGATAGATGCCCTGTGTTATCTGCACAAACTACTTCAAATCATAACAGTTCAAAGAGATATCTAGGTATATCAGTCTAACAGCTGAGAAACCTAATTGCCTTGCATGAGTACATGTGGATATATACCACTGAAGAGAAGGTTGACTCAAACGAGTTTTAAACTCTTCTCAGGAAGATCATACTTTACCAATGGTTACAAAAGATTATGATTATTCCAAATAGTGTGAATGCCAATTAATCTCCAAAAGATTCACGCTTCCAAAAGCTTGTGGAGGTTCCGGGTTTTCCCAAATGTTTTGAATATCCATTTTCCAAAATTCTCATATGTACACCACACTATAAATTCCATTCTTTTAGGGAAAAGTACTAGAAACGAAGAATAAGCGTGCAGCTGCAATTGTGCACTATATTTCACCAAAGGGACTAGTTTCTAAATTGTAGCAGAGGTGGCACTAATTTCCCATTTCCAATATATTGCTGTTCTCACAGAGAGAACATTCTCTAAAGTCAGTAATGAAGTAAGAAATCTTCTTTAGCTGAGCCATTTATTTCAAATACTTAGATCCCTTTCTGCTGAAATCTAAAGAGAGCCATATTCCATGCTGCAAGTTTCTGATGTTTCTTCCCTATTTCCAGAACAACCAAAAGATTGCCAAACAACTAGCGACGTGCCCCTACAATGCCCGTCACAGAATTCCTAAGGACGAGTTCAACTTACACATTGAAATCTGTGAAAGTAAAATTTCCTTTGAGATGAATAAAGGTAAGAAGTTGATTATTTTAACTGGTTTAACCACTAGGTTATATAGCTTGCGCTCTGTGTGTAATATATCTATATACTAGGTAATGTACCTTGCTTTGCTCAGATATGTATTTACTAATGGGATTATTTATAAAACTATAAAGCTAACAATGAGTATTTCTAGTAAATGACATTAGAAAATGCATACCTGGGCAACACCTGGTGCATAAAACTAGTATTTTATACAAGTAGATATATCTAAGGAATGCTGCTGGGTGCTCCAGTCCAACTTTTAGAGGGTAAGATGTTTCCCGCCCTGCTCTCCTTTGACAATGTTATTGGAGAAATAATGCACAGACTCTTGACAGAGTACAGTCTTGCAAGCATGGATCAATTTTACCTAAGCCTAGAGTTAATCTCCACAGCTAGTGCAGTTCACTTTGTTTTCTCCCTTTAATGTTTGCTTGTAGTTGCAGTAAATAATGGAAGCAAAGAAAAGACAGCCTGGAAATGCCCCTCTCCACAGGAAGACTGGGAAAATGGTGAGTTTTTACTTCCAGGATCACTTCACCTGTGGAGCTGCAAAATATTATGATTTGAATCTGAACCTGCTTTAGCATGTTACAGCCAAACTGCATCTGAAATTCTAATTTGTCTCCATCTTGGAGGCACCAGTTCACTGCTGTAAAGAACCAGGGTTTCTCTGGTGGAATTGTCATAAAAAAGCTCTGATGCATCAAGCCAAGTTCAAGGGGTCAGCTATCATCCTGTTTCAACAGTCAATAATCAATCGGAGCCAGCTAACACCTCCCAACAAAAGATCACCAGGCAGCAACCAGCCAGGCTTTGAAGCTACAAGGCCATTAAATGCTGATCAAGGTGGCCAATTGCAACATTCACACTTGCCTCAAACAGACAAGAGTTCTTTCTCTCACCTCTCACATTATTCCACAGAGATATAAACCTCACTTGCCTAGTTTCCAACAGACCTCACAACCTCTGAGGATGCCTGCCAATAGATGTGGGTGAAACGTCAGGAGAAAATGCTTCTGGAACATGGCCATACACCCTGCAAAACTCACAGCAACATAGTCAGATGGCTTGTTGTGACATGAAAGGAACCATCATCCTAAAGTGTTTAACATTTAATGTCATACTGCCTCTGATCAGTCATGTTTAGGCATCATGGCCAATAGATCTCAGATAAAGCCTGTCCTTCAGAATAGAATGTAGTTCTATAAGTACTGGTTTCAGCAGCAGCCACTTCGAGTTGGGAGAGGGAGAGGGATGCTGCAAGACACCTGTTTTGGTTGTGTCCAAGCTGGATTGCCACAATGTATTCTTACTTTACTAAATATTTAGGACGCTCCAATTGGCACAGAACATGACAGTTGAACAACTGCAGGAGCTCAGTATTCTGATTGCTTTACATTAGGAATAGGCAACTTGATATCCTCCATGTTTTTAGGGCCACAGCTCCTACTATGGGAGAAGCGAAGCTTTTATAGTGTAATTAAGAACCATTGGCTTCCAAACCTATGCAAATTGTTTCTACAACTTTGTGTGATGTAGAAACACAGCAGGACTGATGAACCTCCCATAGCTTAGACTAAAAACCCAACTATTCACTTAACCATTGACCATGCTATTTGGGGATAAATGGGGGTTGTAGTCCAAAACATCAGAAGGACATTACTTTGCCTAACACTACTTGTTCTGCACCAGATACAGTGTCTGTATTGGAAATTCCATAACCTATTGGAAATAAGTGCCCCATAACCTTATTGAAAAGGTAAAAATTGTTTCTTTGAAGTAGAATTTGCAGTTGTAATTGCCCAAAAAATATAAATTCCCTTGAAGAGACAAAATAAAACCTTCTTTGAAAAGGTTTACTAACAAACTTATTATATATATATTCAGTCCATAGTCAATGTCTTTAGCATATTGATATAGTCCAAACTGTATAATTGTACTCACTGAAGTCTGAAAGGAGACAAACTGCATCCACTTCCACTGAGGTCTAAAAACCTACTGTAAAACAAAAATAGAGTCCCGTGTATGAAGCCCCTTCCACACCAAAGAGGTACAGTCAAACTGGCAAACTAAAATGTACATACAATATAGGTTAACAATTATACACATTTACAGTTAGTGGAGGCTTGGAAGGTTGTTATTTCTAACAGTCTGTCTATTCTTTCTTGAACCCAAGTTGAGTTAATGGCATTCAACTTTAAAATGCTACAGCAGGCAATGTATATCCCCATGAACCTACCCAAGAACTAAATCAGATTCAGAAGTTCTGCTTTTTAGACACCTTTTGTTTGTCCCCTACCATTTTGACTTTAGCTGAGTTTTTTTCTCTCTCATCCACTCAGATTTTACATAAATTGTGGTGTCTGAATTTTTATCTGCTGTTTTGATATTTGTTTTGGTGCTATAATTTCTATCTGAGCTATTGCTTATTGGCTGTTGATGCTTTTCTCGGTGAACTTAAAATGTTCTAATATTGTTCTTGCAATTCTATGATTCTTCTGTAATCCTATTTTATTTTATTGACTTCTATGAACAACTTCAGGAGGGTAATCTATATCTCAAAATACACTCTAAAAATCTATGCAGTAACAATTCATCCCATCACACCAGGGGTTCTTAACCATTTTCAGCTGCTGAGCCCTTTTTGAAGCAAAAGTTTCATGTGGAGCCCCAATATCTATCTATCTATCTATCTATCTATCTATCTATCTATCTATCTATCTACCTACCTCAGTAATAGGAGCTACCCAAGGTGCCATCCACTCCAACCCCCTTCTGCCATGCAGAAAAAGCACAGTCAAAGCGACCTTGAGTGGTGGGAGGGAAATAGGGTTTTGGAAGCATGGAGGAAAGGATCTGGGCTGCAAGGAAAATGCTTTTTGGCAGCAAGGTAGCTGAAGTAGAAAGGCTTTGGCAGCAAGAGAAGTAGGAGGAAAAGGCTTTTGGCAAGGTGGCCAAGGGCAAAAGGCTTTGGTGGCAAGGGAGGCAGGGGGAGAAGGAGGAGCAGGAAAAAAGAGGCAAAGCATATGAGGGGGAGAAGGAGGAAAGAACTATAGAGACTGAGTATGCTTCAAGGAGTCGCAAGGGCTTTGTGGAGAACACTTTGAGAAACACTGCATCAGACTGGAACTAGTTGCTGCCTGGTTTTTCTCCCAGTCTGGAGTCTTCAACAGCTGATTGCTAGATCAAGCCTGTAACTTTTTGACTAATAATAATAATAAACTTTACTTATAACCCGCCACTATCTTCCCGAAGGGGACTCGGGATGGCGAACATGAGGCCAAGCCCAAAGAATACAATACAGCAAAATAAAGTGCAAAGTACAACAACAAAAATTACATCACAGTAAAGTACATACAGTGGCAAAATAAAGTAAACAAAGCAAAAGAGCATAATAGAAAATTGAACATAATAGACAGTCCAAATGGACAAGATAAAATGATAAAACCCTAGATGAGGTAGGAGTAGAAAAAGTGTATTTGAGAGGAGCCCAAAAAGGACAAACAGTACAGTTAGGCTTTCAATTTAGGCCGGAGGAAAGTGCATCATAAGGACAACACTGTAGATGGAATAGACAGAAATGGGATGAATGGTCACTCTCCAAAGGCACAATGGAAGAGCCAAATTTTCAGATCTTTCTTAAAGGCTGCTAGAGTGGGGGCTTGCCTAATCTCACCAGGTAGTGAGTTCCAAATTCGGGGGTCACAGTGGAGAAGGCTTTCTCCCTTGTTCCTACAAGTTATGCCTGAGATAGAGGAAGGGCCGAAAGGAGGGCCTTCCCAGAGGATCGAAGGGCTCGTGCAGATTGGTGGTAGGAGATGCGGTAACGAGTCTAAGGAGTGAATGTTCAACAAGGGTAGGATGTGTACAAGCCTTGACAACATTTCTTGATCATTTAATACACTGTGAAGAATCTGGAAATATGTTCCTAAATAGGTAACCAGGAAAATGTGGCCTAATATTTCTGTTTACTCTTTTTCCTAAGATGCTGAAGAAACTCCTGCTCGTCCTTTTGTTTTTGGTGCCATGTAAGTCTAGCATTCTTTCACAGCCACTTAAGATGTTGGTTGTAGCCACACCTTGTCTGGCAAATGGCATAGGCTGAATGTTGATGGAATCTAATCGTAAAGGAGGAAGAAAGTATGGTGGCAAACAATTGTGTCTTTCATGGCTGGAATCCCTGAGTTGTTGTAGGTTTTTCGGGCTATATGGCCATGTTCTAGAAGCATTCTGTCCTGACGTTTCACCTGTATCTATGGCAAGCATCCTCAGAGATTGTGAGGTCTGAGGATGCTTGCCATTGACCTACAACAACCCAATGTGTCTTTTTACACAATGCCTGCCAATAGGATAGCCACTCCTAAGAAAGGCTGCTCTGGTAGGCATAGCTAGTCACAATGTAGCCATTGCAACAAAAAGACTTGCCTGGAGAGCTTTACTTTGGGGCACTCTCAATCATCCAAATGTTCTATATCTGTTAAAATTGTATTTATTTCAAAAACAGATAAATTTTAACAAATTGCCTTAATATGTAATATACTCCGAAGGCTCCAGATCCAGTCTGATTTTGGAAGCTGAACCTGGTTTGGCATGCCTAGTATTTGTATGAGAGACCACCAGCAGGGAAGACCAGTTGCTGTAGGCTATATTCAGAGGAAGGCAATGTCAAAACACCTCTGAATAAATCTTGCTAGGAAAACCCTAGGACTGCCATAAATGGGACTTTATTTGGAAGACATGTAACGAAAACAATATCCTACTGTTTAGTTGTAACTTGTATAAGAGAGAGAAACCAATACCTCAGACCATACATTATACAAAAGTCACACTGGGAAACAGCTTGTAAACTAGCTGGGATTTCTGGGAGTTGTGGGCCAAAACACAAGGGGATCCACATGTTGAGAACTACTGCCTTAGAGACGAGCATTAAAAATATCATTGTAGTAAGAAATTTTGTACTATATCAATAAACTTAATACGGCTAAAACTCTATGACATTTTATTTTTTGAACCTCCTAATGCATAGGAGTTGTCATTATTACCCAGGTAGTACCGTGGGTAACACTTATTTGGTTATTTCACCTAAAGTAAAGAAATCTCTGTAAACACTATAAAGATGGTTATAAAATTTGTGTCCAAAACATAATACTCTAATGTTTCTTTCTTTATATATAGAGTATCAGAGGATGGCTCATAGAATCCAGATCATTGGGGGAAAATAAATGGTAAGGATATGATCTGTTATAGAATGAATTGCTGACTATATAATATAACAGTTTGGTGGCACTATGTAGCCCCAGGGCTATATGTTGCCCACTCATTACATACACCTAACAAGCTTGAGCTATATAGAATCTCCATATACAGAACCTGAAGTTAAGGATGAGTAAAGAGGTGGTCATGTTTGCTGGTGGCACTACATTTATTAGATAAGAGGGGGAAAACATTAAAGAACTCAAGAATTTCTTGAAGTTGGAATAGGTAAAGGTAAAGGTTTTCCCCTGACATTAAGTTCAGTTGTGTCCTACTCTGGGGGGTGGTGCTCATCTCCATTTCTAAGCTGAAGAGCCAGTGTTGTTCGTAGACACCTCCAAGATCATGTGGCCGGCATGACTGCATGGAGCGCTGTTACCTTCCCGCCGGAGTGGTACCTATTGATCTACTCACATTTGCATGAGAGATAGATCAATGGAACCAGTCCAGAGGACAATTTTAATACTTCAATATGCAGCTACTACTTTAAAAATTGTCCTATCAGAATTATGAAGGAGCCGGAGCCCTTCTAGTTGCAATTACTAGAGCTGACTAGCTTAGGAGAAACAGTCAGCAAGGGAGAGAAGAGTGAATAGTGCAAAATTATAAATCTTACATAATGCTAAATCCCAGAGCCATCTACTGAAATTGAATGGTGAGAAATCTGGTCAAGATTTGAAAAAAGCACTTCATACAGCCCATAATTAAATTGCTGAATTCACTCCAACAAGACAGAGAAATAACTGCCGGGTTGGTAGCTTTTAAAGGGGCATTTTACATATTTATGGATATTAGTTTATTATTTAGCTAGTAAAATAGCTAATTTATCCCTTCTAGAACCAGAGCTATAATGCTTCTATTGCCGTTATCATACGAAACTCTAAAAATGGGTCTGGTATTGCAAACCCATCTAGGTTTGAATGGGAACACACCACGATAGCCAGTCTTCTTATCAAGCCAATCTGTTCCTCAAGCACATAAAGAAACTGGCAAGTACTTTTAGCTTACTGCAACCGCTGAAAGTTGTTTTCTCCCAATCTGTGCATTGCCCCTGTTCATCATGCCCTCATTTTTTAATCTCTCCCCCACCCCCCCACCCCACCGGTAAAATTGCACAACTCCATGAGTTCAAAACTTCATGAGAGTGGGGCTTTGTAATTAACTACTTTCGCAAATTCACTGTCCCTTCAAACTAGTGGTTCTCAACCTGTGGTCTGTGGACCACCAGTGGTCTGTAAGAACTAAAATATGGGCCTCACCCTTACTACACTGTTGCAACGAGAGTGACTGGTCTCGCGAAACTCTTATAGTGCCAAGGCTTATTCAATATGGTTTTCTGTGGGCAAGCAGATGGCAACTACTGGGTGGCATATGTTCTGTATCAGAAACCAGAGCTGATATGGTCTATCCAATGCAATTTTCTGAATTAGTATCCCAAATAACCGAACCTAATCTAAAGTTGACCAAAAACTGATTCATAACCCTTTTGGTACTAATGTTGGAGAGTGGTCCCTGGTCAAAGCGGTCCCTGGTTAAAAAAAAGGTTGGGAACCACTGCTTTAAACCTTTTAAATATTAATTAAAAAAAGATGCATTTTGTAATTACTAGCCTTTCCCTGGTTTGCGTCTTCCGCAAGGGGAGGTGTGTGTTCCATGGCCAAACCAGCTAAGAAATTTTGAAATGTTTTCAAAAGAACAAGGGAAAGTTAGCAAACAACAGCAATGGCCTAAGGAAGACGTGTTCGTCTAGACCTGTATCATCTGAAATCAGTTCAAAGGTTAAAAAATGAATGCCCCTTTAAAAATAATTGAGACGTTTTTCTTAAGAATGGGACAGCTTAGGAATAAACAGGAACCCAGAAAAATCCAGTTTATGCAGAAACTTAGCTTTGAGGAAAACCTTCATTCATGGAGAAACCCTACCCATCCTGACTAAAACAAATACAAAAATAATCCATAAACAGTTCCCAATTCCTATAATTTAGGGTTCATGGCATAGAACATGGATTTGTAGCTTGTATTTTCACATGTGTGGGAATAATAAAGCATGCCCAGCTGAGCTAAAATGAGTGCAAGTGAAGTCGAACATGACCCCCCCCCCCCCATAAGAGATAGTAATAGTTTTGCTAAGGAAGGACATAAGGCTGGATAATAGGGGTCAAGTCTTGGTCAGTTTGCAAAGACACTAACAACAACAACGGGGAACCTTCCCATGTCAGATAGTGTGTACATTTAATCAAGGTTTTATGCCCTACGTTTCATATATATAGCAGAAGGTAACACATTTATTACTGAGAAACCACCTCCCTTTACACTTATGAACTTTCTTTAACTTTTATGGGACTTTTGCCCCCTTCTGAAGGACTCTTAGAAACTTTTTGGAAACTTTACCTTTTCAAGCCCCAGGAACTTTTGGACTTTTAAAAACTTGTTCCTCTCCCCAGCCCCATGGGCTGTCAAAATGGCTTTGTAAATTCCCACTTTGGTGGGTGGAGATGGGCTCTTTTTCTTTATATTAATGTACCCTCATATGATTCCCTTGCATGTTTCCCCTTCCCCATACCCCATATATAAAAGCTGCCCTTTTCGTGACCCCAGCAAGGCACCTCTTGGGAAATTCCTCCTATTTCCCCAAGATTAATTTCCTCCTGACTTAAGGTTTCCAACAGTAGCCCTTTGCATGATAATAGTCTAGGTAAGCCTTGGGCCTCGGAGCAGGACTGCCCAAGGCACCCCATGGTGAACCCAGTCATTTCCCAACAATGGGACATCCTCTCCCTCGAAAAGACCTGGATGTCCCAATCCGCCTCATACACTGTCTTTTACCCCTTTGGCCGAAACTCCTCATTGATAACATTCACCTCCAGGATCAGTTAATTATTTTATTTATTTATTTATTATTTGAACGTATATGCCACCGCTCCCCTGGGGCTCGGAGCGGCTTACAAGAATGGCTAAAATCTAACAAAATTTAAAGCAATTTAAAAGAATTTAAAAACAGCAATATCAAACATTAAAAGCCTGTCGAAACAAGTATGTCTTACATGCCCTGCGGAAAGCTGGTAAGTCCCGCAAGGCACGGACTTCAGGTGGCAGAGTATTCCAGAGTGATGGTGCCACTGCTGTGAAGGCTCTGCGTCTGGTTGCTGTTAGACGCAAGGTCTTGACACTGGGAATTTCCAATAGATCTTGGTCCTCAGAACTGAGGGATCTCTGGGGTTGGTAGGGGGTGAGGTGGTCCCTCAGATATCATCAAGGCTGGCCCGCTGTGCCACCCGCTTTTGTATATTTAATCACATCAGACAATACCCAGCCAGCTTGAGGAATCTTAGGATTATCACCAGCCATTTGGACATATTGAGCCATTCTAATTCAATCATCTGGACGTTCCCTTCATTGTTCTTCCCAAGGACCGCCTCCTCTGCTTCCATTGGTCAAAAGCATGAAGCGGCGCTGGCTTTCCGATTGGCTGGGGTGCAGCCAAGCCGGCCGCGCCTCCTCTCAAGCTGATGACAATCCCCAATCAGAGAGAAGCCGGCTGAGGGGCGGGGGCGGGAAATTTGAACTTTGACAGCTCTGTTTTTCTATAAAAATGTACCAAAATGTACTGCTTGCATGTTTGCTTGACGAATGACCACGGTATAACATCCTTTCCAGATGGATCTCAATAAAACAACTCGGTGGCTGTTCTTCAACTTGGTGAGACCTTTTGTTGGGAAAAATCAGGGGAAAAAATTGGGTGCTTCTTTATGTCTTGCCAGGGCAAAGAACTCTTTGATGAGTCTGATTGGTCTCTGCCTCCTAGCAAAGACCCCTAAATTTTTGCTCGATATCACAAGCATTAATTGTCAGCAGTTATGGAGAACCTTCTCAAATAGCTGTTGCAGATGCTGTTAAGGGGTTGGGGGTTTCTTTCTTTGTTTTTGGCTTCTATGACACCTTGGTGCTTAGCAGAAGCAAACAAGTGATATAATAATAATAATAATAATAATAATAATAATAAACATAGACAAAATCACGTCTGTCAACTGCAAAAGACCACCTTACTTGGATTTGCGCGCATCATTCGAAAATACATCACAGTCCTAGTCGTTTGGGAAGTGTTCAATTTGTGATTTTTTGATACGAAATCCAGCATATAGATCTCGTTTGCTGTGACATACTGTGCTTTTGTATCAATAATAATAATAATAATAATAACAATAATAATAATAATAATAATTTATTAGTATTCCGCCCTATCTCCCTGAGGGGACTCAGGACATATATAAAGGCAGTCCCCGTTACAAACATCCAACTTACAAATGACTCATAGTTAAGAACAGGGGTGAGACAACAGGAAGTAGAAGAAATCTATCTACCCCTCGAAAGGGAAATTCACCCTGAAAGAGTGAGTTATCATGGGGACTGCCTGTAATTTTTATTACTACTTCTGACTGAACAAGACTTATATGAACCAAAGCATATGCAAATAAACAAGATGTTGACACTAGCAGGAAAGGTGCTATCGCTAACAGAGGATGTGGCAGCTAATTTATGCCGTACTAGTTGGCTTCCATTTGTATAAAGCCCTATTACATGGTAAATGTGCTTTAGGAGAAAGCATCCTGCTTGTGCTGTAGAGGTGAGAATCCTATGAGGAGCTATGACTGGGTGAATGTTGATAGAAGACATTTGGTCTACGAGTGGGCAGTTGAAGCTCTCATTTAGGTATAATTAGTTACAGTTACATTTTTGGCAAGGACCCGTGTTAGAGAAATACTTTACTTATCCCCACATTGTTCTTCAAAGTATGTTAAGATTAGAGCACAGATGGTTATACAGTTCCCTCTCTATGACATCTCAATCATTATTAGTATTACAGAACATTATAGGAAGATGAATTACTGTTTGGCAGCAAAACAAACTCATTTCTGTATGTTATTACAGGTTCCTCTGGAGATCATACAAAAAAGGACCATTCAAGACTA